GTTTGTCAGGGAAAAGTAAATCCCTCCAAGCTCTGAGGCCAGCCCAGGGCCTGCATGGTGGGGGAAGGCAGAACATGTGGGACCTCTCCCACACCAATTTTTCCCTATGTGAGCCCCCAGGTCCTGGCTCCTTGCTGAGCCCCAGGACGAGGTGCCTGAGCTGGGCGATGCTCATGGAGTGACACGTTTCCTTCGGAGCCGGGTGAGTCACGGCTGAGTCATGGCTGGCTCTGCTGAGCAGCTCCCTGTCCCCTGCAGCCCCAGGGGACCCACAGCTCCATCGAATGCTGCAGGATGTGAAGCTGCCTCATCCCTTGTGGGGTCCCTGCCCTCTGTACAGGGGGGCACAGGGGAGCCCTCCCCTCTCTGCTCCCCTGGGGCTGCAAATCTGGCTCAGCAGGTCAGGAGCAATAGGAGGGGAGTGCCTCTGGTCACCCTGCAGCCCTTCGCCTTCCAGCCCCACCAGCTCTTACTTTGAGCTGAGACCGGGCTGAGTGTGGTTTTTGGCCACACTCAGGGTCTTTCCTCTGGGGCAGAACCTTCTGCAGGCTCTCCTGGGCTGGTCAGCACAGAAACCAAGGGTAAACCACTGCCAAGAGCCTCCCTTGCTCCTGGGGCACCATGTGCTGCCCCATCGTTGTGTCCTCAGGAGTGCAGGAGCTGCCTGTGCCTCCCGCTCCCCCCCGGGCTGCTCCCCTGCCCAGCGACTCCCACGCTCCCTGGGCTGACACTCCGTGGGGCCGTTATGCCCGAGGATCGTTTTGCATGTGGGGAGAACCAGCGGCAGCAGAAGAATGAATTTGCATTTCTCAATGGCACCCAGTGTGGGAACCGAAGCCGCGGAGGGTTTCGCTGCCGCTCGGCCCCGCGCGGGGCTGTGTGAAAAGACAACATCCCGTCTGCTGGCACCGGGCCCGGCCCGTCTCACCTGGCTGCCCGTGTGTGCCTGGGAACGGCCCCGGGCCCACAGCACAGCCAGGCCGTGCTGGCCCCGCTGCCCCATTCCCGGTGTGCCAGCGGGATGAGGGTGATGGTGAGGAAACAGGAGTACGGTGCCTGTGGGACTTATACTGGGGGGTTCTCTCATGCTGGGTGTGATCTGGGGTTCGTGTGCTGGTGCAGCAGCTGCACGAAGAGCCCAGCGCAGGATCCTTCCCCGTGCAGGGGGTTTCCCTCCTCTGCACCCCAAATCTCTGGTGACGGTGACAGTGTGGGGGAAGCCGTGACCTTTCCTCACCCTGCAGGGAGCAGGACGTGCCCAGCCTGCCCTGAGCCCTCTCTTCCTGGCACCGCCATGCGACCCACAGCCATTTCCAGGCTTTTAATCCCAAGAGACAAAAGCAGGAGTTTAACGCAACTGGAGGAAGAAAAGAGCAGGGCTTTGGGCAGGGAACAGCAAACACAGTGGTGGATCTGCTGCTCCAGCGACCTCCCCTGCGTCACCCGGGTTTGCACTGGCAGCGCTTGGCCCAGCTGGGAACCCAACCCGGGGGGTGCTGGGGGAAGTGGGGTAGCCAGGGTGGAGAGCTGGTGGTCCAGGGGCCGGGCTGAGGGCTGTGCTGCCATCATCCTGGCATCTTCACCCATCTCCAGCTTGTCCTTCCTCAGTTGCCGTCCCAGGTACAGCCAGGCTGCAGAGGGGACTGTGTCACCCCAGGGCCAAGCACTGTCCACCTCCTGTCACCGTAGGGTGTGAAGGAGCCTTTGCATGGGGCCAGGTGAGCACCTCTGTGTCCATGCTATCAGTGTGGAGCAGACATCCACCCTTGCACCCCTGCACAGAGTTGGCTTCTACAACACCCTGTCTTTGCACCCTCAAGGGCTGCCCTGGAGTGCAGGTGACACCACAGTCCCACCTGCAGCAGCCCAGGAGCACCAGGAGCCTCAGGCAGTGGGGATAGGATGTCAGGGCAGTGGCCAGGACCCGAGCAGGGCTGTAGTGCAGCAGTGGGGACCCAGTTGCAGAGCAGGGCTGGGAGCCCTGTCCCCTCTGTCAGGGTGGGGGCCGCAGCAATAACGTGGCTGTTTGCCCCGAGCACACACAGGGCCCTGTAAATGGGGTTTATGGCAGCAGCTGGGAGATGGAGGAGCTGGGGGGGTAATAAAGAGGAGTGGCCCTGCTCGCCCCGGGGCTGCCCGGGAAGTGGGAATGTCTGACGGGGTGAGGAAGAGTCTGAGGGCATGCAGGTGGTCTTGGCTCTGGAGTGATCCCAGCAGTTTGGGAGCTCTAGACACGCTCCTTGGTAGATCTGCACGGGGTCATTGCACCATAAAAAGTCCCTCAGTGCACACCTGTGGGTTTCTGCACTCCCACTCCCTGCCCTTGGGTAACTTTGGGCTCTGTTGCGGAGCACTTGTCACCTCCCAACTCCCTTCCAAGGGGTGGAAAGATTTATTAAAGGTACTTCAACCATTTCAACCACTTCCAGTCTCTTTGGGCTGCAGAAAAGCCTGAGTGTGCCCATCCTGCAGCCTGAGAGTGGGGATTCACCCTGATTCAGCATCGCCCTGAGGCACAGACATGGGGTGCAGGATGAGGCCTCAGAGGGACCCCAGCTCTGCACGGGGACCACCACTGTCCCTAAAGGCTGTGTGGGAACTGGAGCACTGGGAGGTATCCTGGAGCAGAGGAAGTCCCACCACTGCAGGGGACCAGGAAGCACAATTGCATGTGGGGACAAGTCAGGCTCCGTGGTCTCTGTGGTTTGTGCAGTGACATCAAGGGCCTTCAATAGTTTTATTATATGTGACATGGCTGCTTATCTATTATTCTTGTGATGGAGCCAGAGATTAGTTGTGAGCAGGTGGGCAGAGATTCTTCCAGGCTGATTCATGAGTAGTTTCTCCGTGTCTCCTCTCTGGCCACGTTCCCAAGCGTTCAGAAGTTTCATGGTAAAAGCCACCGGAATCGGAGCCGATGGGTTGACAGGGAAGGCAAGGAAAAGGCACTGAAAACTGTGCACACGGGGCAGAAAAGCCAGACATCGTTTCTCTCTTTTGCTGTTCCTCAGGTGTTGCAATCTCTCCTTTTCCTGGTTTGCATGTGCAAGCAGAGCTGTGCCGAGCTGCGATTGCGAAAGGCGGCGGGGAGAGCCCGGCACGGCCGGAGCCGGTGACACCCCGGGCGGCAGCACCCAACCTGCTGGGAGGGAAGGAGAGGTGTCATTTTGGGGCCTTTTGCCTGGTTTTGCAGTGCTGTACTGCCTAGCTCTCCCTGAGCCCAGAAAAGCAAATGTTTTTCCCTTTAATCTCTTATTCTTATCAAGATCCCGGTGCTGCTGATAAGAGGAGCAGGGAAAGCTCTTTCAGACTGAGGTGTGAGTCGGGAACAGGCTCCCAGACAGCCCAGGATGACGTGGGTCTGGGATGCTCCGGAGCAGGGACCAGGGACTGCTGGTGCATCCCCTCTGCCTGGTGACGTCTTGCCCAGTGTCCCCAGTTGTGCTCTCCTCTGCCTTGCTCCTGCCTCCCTCAGGTGCTCTGGTTCGGTGTTTGCTCTGGTGAGAAGTCGTAAAGAAACCCAATAAACGAGGATGACCTGGAGGTGGTGTCATAGCAAATCCAGCTCTCAGAGCCCGTGCAAACCATAACCTGCTCCCCAAATGTGCCCCTCAGGCAGCCTGGCCGTGGGGCAGCAGCACAGAGCGGCCGCAGGAAGGGTGGGATGGGCGCTGTGGCTTCCCAGCATGGCTCGTGTGAGCCTGGTGTAGAGCTCACCCGTGATCTCACTCTGCATCCTCAGTCTCCCTGGCTGAGACACCTGTGCTCCAGGGGCGGTATCCATGCTTGGAGGGCTGCAGCCCTGGGGCTTTGCTGGGATGCTCCTGCCCCAGGTGCCCTCAGGAGATGGTGGGGTGGGACACAGGAGCAGGTTTGGGTGCCCGTGGGGCTTTGCCCAAAGCAGAGGATGCTCTGAATGGGGGGGGGGGGCTCTGCTATGGCTGCCAAGAGTCAGGAGCACTGAGGGGGGACACTGGAGGGCCTGGAATGCCCTCGTGGCTGTGCCACGTCCCCATCCCACGTGCCCAACCCCTGGCAAAGCCTGACCAGGGACTGGTGGCTTCCCAGCGCAGCCGCTCACCCAGGGGTCCCCCCGTGTCCCCCACAGCCACCGCCACGTGTTCCAGGCCGTGTTTACCAAAACAGCTCTGCTGGGACATGGGAGCCCTGATCCGGGGGGAGCTTTCCCCACGATAAGATAACATTGAGGAGTTTCAAAGGGAGGCAGAAACTCCTGGTGCTGCCGATAGCAGCAAAGGCCTTTCCCAGCACCCGGGCTGGGGTCGCCTCCCCCCGGGTTTTGTTTTCCTCCCAGCAAACATTTCCCATGGATGGCTTATCGGCCCTGCTCAGGGCAGGGGGGTTCACCAGCTCTGCCACTCCATGGGCTGGGGACAGGCCCCTGGGACGTGGTGACGTGGGGCCGACCTGAGCTGCACCGTGGGTGTCTGTGGTGGGGTTTGGTCTGACGTGGGTATTTAGGGCATGGGGGAGTTGGATTTTAGCAGTGCTTGCTACGTGTGTGGGAGAACCGCCTGAACTGCCCTACCTGCTTCATGTGCTAAAAAAAAGACCATAAATACCAACTCAGTGTCTGTCTCGCTCAGAACAGCTTTTTCCTGCTTATGCCGGTGGAGACAACCTGGGCCCGGAGTGCTGCATGTTCCAGCCGTGCCCCCGTGCCCAGTCCCACCTGCAGCAGCAGGCACAGACCCCAGGCACTGGCCAGTGCTGTGTCCCCAGCGTGGGGAGGGTTTGGGTGGTGTCAGGGGCTCCCCTCACCCCCAGTGGCTCTGAGCCCTCTTGATCACAGGCTCTGTGACAAACCCCTGGTGGCTGCAGACCTTGGGTAGGGGATGGTCCCAGGGTTCAGGTCAGGGATGCTCCCACCTGCTCCGGGAGCTGTACCGTGGCACAGGGCCTGGCCAGGGGCTCCCAGGCACCCAGCAGGTCTCTGTGCTGCAGGTCTGACTCCAGGAAGAGCCGTTGGTCTCGTCCAGGTGAGGCTGGAAGGGGTTAACGGTGGCCGGGTTTGCCCCGCTCCCCTCCCAGGGCCCATTCGGGTCTGAGCCCGGCGCCTGCCAAGGGTTAACCCGGCCCGGGCTGTTCAAACACCTCGGCTGAGGTAAGCGCCGCTTGTTTGTTCAGGTAAATAAGGAAGGAATTGGATATAATGGGCAAAGGAGGCTCTGGCTGAGCCGTGACACTCGCTGCCGGGTCCCCCTCGCAGGCTCCGTCCCTCTGCCGCCCTCGGAGCCGCCCGGGGTGCCCGGGGCCGGTCCCGGTCCCTGTCCCTGTGCCCCTCCCGTCGGTGTCCGCCCAGAGCCGATGTGGCTCAGCCCGGCCGTGCTGCCGCCGCGGGGCCGGCGCTGAGCCGGGCAGGAGCTGCCGGACAGTGCCGGGCCCCCCCCTCGGGGCCATGCCCCCCACAGCCACCGCTCCGAGCACCACGGGGATGGCTCTTCCCACCCTGCACCGGGACCCATGTGGATTGTGAGCTGCCCGCGCACCCTCCAGGTAAGACATGACCCCCCGGCTCCCAGTGCTCCATCAGCACCCACCCGACTCACCTTCCCTCCCTTCAGGGGCTCCCACAGCCCTTTCAGCACCAGTGTGGGGAGGACAGGGGGCCGTGGCATGTCAACATCCCATCCCACAGCTCCTTGCACCTCCAGGTGCCATTAAGGCTAAACAGGGACAGGTTGTCCCTTGGCATGGGGTTCTGGCACTTCTTGGGATGGTGTCACCCAAAATTAAATGGGATTTGCTAATTTTGTGTCTTTGCAACCCCCTCTTGCTCCAGCAAGGAGGATGGGAGCCAGGACTCCCAAGGCTGGCTCCTCCCAAGCCCACCTGGTACCAGCAGGGACCCTGAGGGTCCCACCAGCCCCTGTGCTGGCAGGGAGGTGTCCTTGGGGCAGTGTGTGACTGACCAGCAGCCAGGGCTCCTTAGGGAGTGGCTGAGGGCCCAGGTGGCCATCAAGGACCTGCCAGCTCCAGGGTGTCTCTCTGCAGCTGAACCCCTTTTCCAGACTTGCACTGTCCCAGCTGCTCTCTTGATGGGTGTTTTTTTTGTCAGCCCTGAAGTCCCTTTGGCTGTGGGTCTGGTTTTCGTGGTTCTGCTCGGTTGGTGAAACACAAACGCGGCGCGGCTGCCAAGAACCCACAATACGGGCATTCTCCGGGCTGGGAGCACGGGGGGGAAGGGGCTGCTATAAATAGGGGCTCCCTGGCCCCACATGGGGAACACCAAGCTCTGCTGCTCACCTGGGGGACACCAAGCACCAGGCTTTGGTCAGGTCACTGGCAGGTTGTGCCTGTCCCCACCACTGCTGTTTGCCTCCCTGTGCCGGTGGAGAGGGCAGCCTGACCCGGGGTGTGGGGACCCGTGGGGACACCTGGTCCCCATGCCAGCAGCCATGCAGGTAATGGCAGGAGGAGCTGGGGGACCTTGGTGGTGTTGGAGGAGGCTGGTGGGGAGCTAAGGGTCCAGGACCCCTGGGATGGGCTGCATCCTTCCTGGCTGTACATTGAGGTGAGCCCAGGGCTTGCCTTGGTCCCAACCCTGTAACCACACAGCTACCAGAGCTCAGACCCCAGGCTGTCACCTTCCCAGTCCCCCAGTGCCCTTCCCAGTCCCTGCCCTGGCTGTGGGGAGGTTTTGACCAATCCTCCTCCCTCCACCCAGAGATAAGAGGGGTGCGTGGCACAGGGTTTGGCAGCCAGGAGGGACGTGGCACAGCTGGCACTGTGGGGCTCACAGGGTGGACAGGACCCCAAATTATCAGCAGCCTCTGAGCACTCCTCTGGGTCCCTGCTGCAGCTCTAGCTTGTGCAGGGACCCCAGGTCCCTTTGCCTGCTTAATCCAGGCTGCTCTGGGCAGTCTGGGACAGCTCTGGGTGCCACATGTCCCTGGTTCCTCCTGGCACAGCACAGCATGTCCCTGTCCCCAGCCTCAGCCTGGACTGGAGGTGACCCTGGCCCCTGGCCCTGACCCCCACCCCTGCTGCCTGGGAAGGGCTTTGGGAAGTGCCTGGGGGTTTGGGAGACATCCCGGGTGCCACAGGCAGCACCTCCTCATACCCTGGGCCAACCCTGGGCCCACGGGGCTTCCCGAGCGCTCCGGCACAACCTGTTCCACTGCGGATTTGGTTTAATTAACGGACCCATTGTTCGAGGGTGGGGGGTGGGTGAATTTTTGATATTTATTTTTTTCTCGCTCCCAAGGGCTGATCCCAGCGCTGCACCACTGCTGGGGCCCTGAGCCATGGGGGTTACATTTGCCAGGAGAGTTCAGGGTGACATGAGGGGTCCTTGGCCCCATCCCCATCCCCCTTGGCTGTGAGGTCCGTGTGGGGTTGGGTCCCTGCAGAGCTGCAGAGCTGAGCTGTGACCCAGCACTGCCCACAGCCCTGGGCTCACACTGGCCCTGTGCCCTGGAGAGCACAGAAGCCTCATCCCAGCCCTGCTGCCCCATCCCAGTCCTGCTGCCCCATCCCAGCCCTGCTGCCCCATCCCATCCTGTGGAGCTGGGCCCACACTCAGCCCATCAGCAGCCAGGGAGCCTCTGCCAGGGCTGATGTAACACCCAGCGCAGCCTCGTCCAGCTCGGGCAGGGAGTGGGAAGGTTTTGGGAGTCCCATGAGGGTTAGTGCACTTGGGGCTGCCCCTCCAGCTCTTCTTTTTCAGGGGAAATGCAAAAAGGGAGAGAAGAGAGAGGGAAACAGCCACCCAAAGCAGCTCCTCGGCACAAACAGGTCCCACCCATCCCGGCTGCCTGAGCAGGAGAAAGTCAAACAGTGGCCCCCGCCCTGAGAGTACAGTGCCCTTGGTGGGGCACGGCACGGGCTTTTGGGGACACTTCCCAGGGTTTGGGTCCCTCTGGTCCCAGCTGGGAGGAGGGGAACAGGATGAGGATGGGGCTGGGGCTGTCTGTCCTGCCGTGTCCATGTACAGTTCCACAGCCCTGCTCTGCCACGTGTCCGGTTTACAGCTGTGGAGGGCGGAGGATGCACCATGACCTGAAAGCATTGGAGGCACTGGAGACCCCCATCCCCTCCCCAGACATCCCCATGGCCGGCACCGTGCAGCTGCACAAGCTGTTACCACTTCCCTTTTGTGCCAGGAGCAGCATGGGGCTGGATTTAGGGCTGATCTCCTACAGCTCTTCTTTCAATCCCAACCAAATCAATGAGAGCTTTGGAAGTCAGTGCCATCTCTCAGGGAGACTGTTTGGGTGGTGGGGGCAGCTCAGTGATCTGGGCACCCCTTCTCCCTCCTCCTCCTCTCTGCAGTGCCACGGAAACCACTCAGGGACACGGGCTCCAGCTCTTAACCCAGAACCCCTCCCCAGGTCCCCGTGGGCTCAGGCTGCCATGGGGCTGGTTAGGTGTCTGTGGTTCCTCTGTGTGGTTTTTTGAGCTCTCCAGGCTTTTCCATGGCCTGGCCATGCCCATCACCAGCTTCTCCCTGGCAGGGGCTTCCCCTTCCCAAAGCCTCAGGATGGCTCTTGGGGAGGTTTATCCATGGACGGAGCCATTCCCTGGTGTTGCCATGGAAATTCAGCAGGTTCATCCTCTTCTCCATGGTCTCCAGGACTCCCTGCGTACAGAGACAGATGGGAACAGGCTGATTTTGGGCAGTTTTTCTTGCAAGAGAGTGAGGGTAATTGCAATTATCCTTTCTTGCAAGCAAAGTTCTCATCCGGGGTCGGCACTGGTGACCAAGGGCCCGGTGCTGCGGTGCTGGACTCGGGCTCACCGGGGAGATCTGGGGTCTGGGGGCTGCTGTGCTGGAGCACCCTCAGGTGGCAGCAGCAGGAGAGGTTTTCCATGCACAGAAACGTGTCCTTGTGGCTCCCCTGTCACCCCAGGGCTGCCCTGTTCAGGTGTCAGGAGCCCCCTCATCCCCTGCTGCCTCCTGCCAGGGCCTCAGCTCCAGCTGGGACTGAGCTGCTGCCAGCCTGGTGTGCAACCCATGGGGAGACCCTGAACACCCGGGGGGGTCAGATCCTGCCAGTCTGCTGGGCTCCTTCTCCCTGCCAGCTGCTGCTGCTGGTCCCCCCAGCTGAGGACAGCCCCCCCAGCCATGGCTGACCCCGAGCCTGCACTCATCCCGAGGTTTGCAGGGCGCCGTGGGGCGAATTTGGAGGGTTTTCGTCTCTAACAGGCTTAGTTCCTCCCTTTGTGCCTGGCTGCTGGGCGGGAAGGCAGGAGCAGCGCTGGGCTGAGCTCTGCTCCTCTCCGGGCAGGTTTGGAGCCGGTGCTGAGCGGAGGGATGGGCAGTGCCAGCCCCGGGCTGACCACTCTGCCCCCCGGCCGCCTCGCCTGGCCGGACCCTGCGCCGCTGCCGCCGCCCCGGGACCCCGGACCCCGGAGCTGGGGCTGCCCAGAGAGCCCCAGCCCCCCCGGCACCCCCGAGCAGCCCCTGCCCGCTTTCTGCCTGCACTACTTCGACATGCTCTACCCCGAGGACGTGGCCTGGGCCACCAAGGGCGTGGGGGAACCGTCCCCCGGCGGCGCCCAGGGCAGGCAGGAGGAGGCGCGGAAGGAGCCGGAGCAATGTCCCATCATCGACAGCCAGGGCTTGGGGCTGGGGCCCGAGGGGGACCTGCAGGCCAGCCTGCCCCTGGAGGAGCACTCGCTGGAGCAGGTGCAGAGCATGGTGGTGGGAGAGGTGCTCAAGGACATCGAGACGGCCTGCAAGCTCCTCAACATCGCCGCAGGTGGGTGCCCTGGGCAAGGAGGGACGTGCTGGGGTGGGGGCCAAAGCTGCACTTTGGGGTTGCGGCCCATGGGGAGGCTGGAGGAGCACGGCTGCCCCCAGGGAAGGAGGGTACGGCTCCTGGGGCTGCCGTGGGGGGAACTGGCTGGCTGTGCTCACCCCTCACCTCCAGACCCCACGGACTGGAGCCCCGGGAACGTGCAGAAGTGGATCCTGTGGACGGAGCACCAGTACCGGCTGCCGCAGATCGGGAAGTCCTTCCAGGAGCTGTCAGGGAAGGACCTGTGTGCCATGTCTGAGGAGCAGTTCTGCCAGCGCTCGCCTGCCTGTGGTGACATCCTGCATGCCCACCTCGACATCTGGAAGTCTGGTGGGTGCCAGGGACTGGGAGGGAGCTGGGGAGGGTGGGCAATGCAGGGTGTGCAGCAGGAGATGCCCTCCTGACCCCCCACTCCTCCCTTCCAGCCGCCTGGATGAAGGAGAAGGCTACCCCTGGAGATGTGAGATACTGTGGTGAGTTCTGTGTGGGCTCAGCTCCACTGGCCCTACTCCTGCCTCAGGCAGGTCTGGGGTGCTTTGAGGGGGTCCCTCCCTGCTTAATTGCAATTATCTGGCTCACTGGAGTGGCTGTTGCTGTGAGATCTGTGTGGTTACACAGATCTGCCCCAGACCAACCCCAGGGCTCTCTGCAAAGTGCAACAAAGGGGGAATGGCCACGAGACCCTTGCTGGCCCCAGTCCACATCCCCTGCACCCCTGCAGGCTGTACAAGGGCAGGACTGAGCTGTTCTTCCTGCTCCAAGATGAAGAAGAGAAAACGAAGCTTCCAGACCCAGTGCCTGGTCTGAGTCTGGCACTGAGCTGGGGTTTCCCAGATGACACTCGTGCAGGTCCCTGGGATGGTGCACAGCAGCGAAGTCTCCCCCTCCCTCCTCTCACCCATCCCTTCCTGTGGCAGGGGGTGACTCCAGCTGGGCTGACAGCGAGGTGGACTCGTCCTGTGCTGGGCAACCCATCCACCTCTGGCAGTTCCTCAAGGAGCTGCTGCTGAAACCCCACAACTACGGGCGCTTCATCCGCTGGCTCAACAAGGACAAAGGTGTGGGGAGGATGCTCGGAGGCCCCGGGGTGGGCACTGGGAGGGTGGGGAGCAGGTGGGGCTGCAACCAACCCCCGTGCCCCGCTCCCCTCCCAGGCATCTTCAAGATCGAGGACTCGGCGCAGGTGGCCCGGCTGTGGGGCATCCGCAAGAACCGCCCGGCCATGAACTACGACAAGCTGAGCCGCTCCATCCGGCAGTACTACAAGAAAGGGATCATCCGCAAACCCGACATCTCCCAGCGCCTCGTCTACCAGTTCGTGCACCCGGTGTGAGCGGGACAGGCTGAGCCCCGGGAGGGACAGGGCACCTCCCTGCCTCCCTCTGCCCCCAGCCACGGAAACCCTCTGCCAGCACTAAGGACCTTGGCTGGGGTGCGAGAGGCCCCCCGGCCCCAGAACCTGCTGGACACAGACCCAGAGACCCCCCACTCCCCAGCTGAGGGACCACCCCCATGCCCTGGTGCGGGGCAAGGGCTGTGCAGAGCCCTCGTCTCCCCTGGGCAGTCCCACGGGAAGGGTGGGTGCGGTGACTGGGCTTGTCCCCTTCCTCTCCTCCCCCAGGGTGCTGCCTGCGGGTGGCTTCACCCCAACCATTGTTCGGGGAGGACAAAGCCTGGGCATGAGCTGGGACAATGGAACCCGCAGGGACAGGGCACCCTCAGGGACAGGACCACCTGCCCCTGCCCGTGGTGGGGCCGCTGGCCAGACCCAATCCAGGCAGGAGCAGCCTGGCACTGCCTGCCATGGGAGCTGTGCCCCTGGAGACCACGGGCATCCCCTCGGGACAGGTGCACCCCCTTCACTTTCCGCTCCAGGACACACTTGGCTTCCCCCCTCTGCAGGGATTTGGGGCTGAAAACGGGAGTTTTTCAAGGACCAGCTGTAAATGCGAGCGTGGGACTATGCACAGTGGGGGTCCCCTGAGCTGGGTCCTCCACCTTTGGGCATGTGCCCACCAGAGCCCTCCTAAGATCCCAGGTCCTGTGCCCTGGCACAGGGCTTTTGCCTTGATTTGGATTTTGTCTGGACTGCCTGATTCTGTAGTTTGTGAAAAGGGAGATGGCAGTTTGCTGTTTCCCTTGGGACAGTAAATCCGGATTGTGACCCGCTGAGGCTGGACTGGGACAGAGAGCTGGGGATTGCTTCACCTGTGCCTTGCACCACAGTCAGAGTTACCTGGAGATGCTGATCTTTTATATTATAGGTTTTTTATTTGTTTATTTACTTTTTGGTTTTGGCTGGCGGCGAATTGTGGTTTAGGTTCAAATGCCGAGGGGTGGCCCGTGCTCCTGGGAATGCTTTGTGGGAGCTTAAGAGGAAAAACACCTGGTTCTTGGTATTTTGTTTTTACCTTAAAAGAGCTGCCTCTGTTCCACCTGCTCCATGCTGCTCACACACTCTGTGTGTGGGTCCTGCTCCCCATCCCAGCTGGAGGGATGGAGGGCAGCCAGAGGGAGGAGAGGAGCAGGGGAAGGAGGAAAACTGCCTTGGCCTCTGGAAAAGGGGATGAAAAAACAAATAATGGGGGGAGAAAAAAGCAAAATGTGTCTTGTGATTTGCTCTGTGTGACCGACACTCCTGCAGCCAGTGCAGGGGCACCAGGAGGGTGGGCTGGGGGTGCTGGTGCCCCAGATCTGGTGGTGCCCCAGATCTCCAGGCCCCTCTGGTGACCCCTCCAGTGTCCCTCTCCAGGTCCTCTGCCAGGGTGGGGGAGGGCAGGTGGTGGCATCAACTTGCTGTGCCAGGGCTTTCCCAGCCTCGGGGGAGTGCTGGGTCAGGGCTGGTGCTGGGAATGGCCCCAAAACCTAACGAGCCCCCCAGGGGCTTCCCAAGGCTTTGTCTGGGAGGGGCACAGGAGTCCCCAAAGGCAGTGGCTCTTCCCTCCTCCCAAAGCCCCCAAGGACCCCAGCAATGCATCCGAGCCCCCATCCCTCTGCAGCCCAGAGCCTTGGGGGGGAGTCACTACCTGGGGGTGCAGTGGCTGTGACTGTGCTCTCTGGGCTGCAGGGGGTCTGTAGCCCCCCAGCCTCCCCCACGGGGGGCACACGGCGGCAAAGGAGACCCCAGAGCCAAGGACGCAGACAGAGCTCGGTTATTTTCTCTTGCTGCTTTTTGTTGTTGTATCCACTGAAATACAATCACGATATATATATATATTATATATATACTTCTTAAATTACACAATCGATGTACAAAAACCGGGGTGCATTGCTGAGACAGGTGGTTGGTTGGGTCTTTTCTGACTTTGTGTTTTTTTTCTGGTACCTGGCAGGGGCCGGGTGGCTCCCGCCCACCATGCCCAGCACACGGTGCTTCCACGAGAACACTGGATCCCTGGGGCCAAAAAATTCACGAACCAAAGGAGGGGGCGGGACAGGAGCGGGAGGAGCGTGCAGGAAGCTGATGGAATCGATGCTGCTAAGGGTGATGGTATGGAAAAAAATGAGAGGTGATCTGTAGGGAAGAGCTCGGGGTGACAAATGCACCCGAGGCAGAGGGGTGGGGTGGCCGTGCTGGGGGCAGCACCCGTGGGCACTGCGGGGCTGCTGCCCACACTGTGGCTGCTGGCAGAGCCCAGGGGAGGGGGGCAGAGCCCCTCGGGGACAAGCAAAGGGCAAAGCCTGTGGCCATTCCCCTGCCTTGGCGTGCCTTGTTATCGGCCATCTTCACCAGACAGCTGCTCTGCCCGGGCTGGATCTGCTGCCTGTGCCAAGCTCTCCTCCTCCTCCTCCTTCTCTTCCTCCTCCTCCTTCTCTTCTTCTTCCTCCTCCACTGGCTGCAGCTGCTGCTGGTGTCCTGCAAAGCTGGATGATGCTCATCCCCCCTCCCTCATCTGCTCCTGCCTCTCTTCAGGAAGGGGATGGATGGAGACCATCCCCAGCCGTGTCCAAGCCAGTCCTCACTATCCCAGGCTGGGTGTGAAGGTGCTTCCAGCAGCACTGGGCTGTGGTGAGTCCTTCTCTGGACAGCGCTGGATTTTGGGGCCATCTCACCTGGATCTGGTGCACGTTGGATACCTGCCCTCCTGAAGGGTGGTGCTGCTCCCTGCAGCACAGGCCAGGCATCAGCTTGGGAAGAGGAGGAAGCTGAGGAGATGCCATCAAGCTCCACAGTGGGGCTGGTCCCACCTCACCTGGGCATCTCAAGGATGGCCGTGGGGCTGAAGGGGAGCAGTCATCCCCTTCCTCGGGGTGGGAGGATGAACTGGGGAGAACGTGGAAACACCAAAAAAAAAACTGGAGTCAGACTCCAATCCCTCTCAGTTTTCTGGGATGAATTTTGTTGGTTCCAGGAGCTTCGGCGCCGTGCATTTCAGAACAGTTCCAGCCAATCAGAAGGCGGCTCATGATTTCAGTATCTTTAAAAACCAACCAATCAGGAGCTCTCACTGGTTGGGCTTTAAGATCTTGAGGTATCGGCTTTTCGCTCGGAAAAAAAATCAACTAACGTAGACGAACGGACAACGTCATCTTTCGCTTCACGTTATCTTAGAAGAAAGCGACTATGCAAAATACTCTTCGGAGACAACTCTTAAAAAAATAAAAGCTTGGTCGGAAAATATGTCTGAATCTCTAAGTATGAGGAGTGGAGGACCAGACGGCAGAATGGCTGGTTGGCTGGTGGAGAGATGGAGACAACGGAGGGTGGATTTATCTGCTGATGGTGACGAGGAGCACACCACAAGACTTAGATTGCCTCCACGTAGTTGGCGGGGTAGAGCCCTAACTGCCCGTTGTCCAAGCGCCCTTTGCACCATCCCTGCTCGTCTTCCTCACCGAGTTTGGTTAGTTCATCACCTGGAGAGAAAGGTGGAAGGCAAGAGCTCGTTGCAGGTGCTGGAGATTCTCCTACCCCCTGTTTCTCCCCGGGATGGAGCTGCTGGGGGTTTCTAGGACTGATCCTGAGCACGTTGGTTTGTAGGGTAGAAAAGCAAAGGGTGACCCATGAGACCTCACGTGCCCTGTCCCACCATCACTCCAGTCCCACCTGCGCTCGGGCTTAGCTTCTGCTTTTTCCTTTCTGACAGATCAACTCTTTGAAGGGCTGGGCTAACTCAGGAATTATTTGAGGGATTTCACACCAAAATGTGGGGGACCCACAGCTCCAGCAGACGATGGAGCATACCTGCTTTGAAGCTGAGCTCGTCCTGCTCCTGCCCGTCGTAGTCGTACAGAGCCCGCACCCGCACGCCCTTCCCCGCCGCCTCCTCGTCGAAGGGGTTGGTGCCGCCGTTGGCCTCGCTGGTGTTGAAGGAGTTGCTGCCCTCGTCATCGGACCACTCGGCGCTGTAGGTCTGCCCGCGGTCGTGGCTGCTCACGCTGGGTGAGGGAGGAGGGGGAGGAGGTGGCTGTCACCGAGGACACCCCGCACCCCCCAACACTGGCAGTGCCCGCACGAGCAATGCTGTGCCTCTCCCACGGCACCTCCTCTCCGCGCTGCCCTCACCTCCCACGCTCGCCCGCCAGAGCCCCCGACTCGCTGGCACTGCTGGCGTTGGTCAGGGCCACCCCCTCGCCCTTCTTCTGCTTCTCCTTCCGCGTTATCGTGTGTGTCAGGTCTGGGTTCCACTCCTGCAACCACAGAGCAACTGGCCCCTGAGCACTCACCCGGCCCCCAGGGCCCCCAGCGCCCAGCCAGGGTGCCCAGCCGGGGTGCCCAGCCTCACCTCAAACTGGGGCCAGTTCATGGGCATCCCGGGGCCACTGGTGCTGCGGAACCACCGCAGATCCTCCTGCGCGTCCGAGAGGCGGATGGTCTGCTCCAGCTCCCGGTACACGTTGGCGTAGCTGCAGGGAGAGACAGGGTCAGTGGGCTGTGGGAGCTGGGGCTGTGTCACCTCCTCCGAGGCACTGGGAGGCACCAGACTCCCACACAGCCTCCAGCCACTCTGGTACCTTTTGGTGACCATTGTGTTGGCCAGAAACCCCCTCCCTACCTGCTGCTCTCAGCCAGGTTCAGGTGCCTCTTGATGTCCAGGAGCATTTCCTTGAGGAAGTTGAGTCTCTTCTCCTCAAACTGCTGGCACTGCTCGAAGACCTGCTCCATGCTCTCGATGTACTGCGGGGTGCACTTGTTCAGCTCGTCCAGCACCTTCTCGTACTTCTCTTGGGTCTGCAAAGGTGTAGGAGGGACCTCATTTGTACCTTGAGCACCCCAGAGGTCATTTCCAGATGCTGAGAGATCTGTTTGGGGGTCACCAGGCTGGGGAGCCCAGATTGACCCCAGAGCCTCTGTGAGTAGAATCAGCCCCAGCAAGAGGGATAAATCCCTGTCCTGCTCACACTCCCCTGAAGACTGCTTGCAAGTCCTCACCCTTCTACAGGAGCACAGGGATGGGAAAATGGGAATGGATGGTGGACAAAGGGGTGTGGTGGCCATTTCCACTGATATCCTCTGCTTGATGCCTTGTGAGCCCAGGGCAGTAGCTCACACCTTTTGTACGTCTTGCTTGCACTTTTCCACTTTGTCCTGGAGCTTCTTCTGCTGCTCTGGGGTGTTGGACTGATCCGCCTTGCTGTTGGCTTCCCGGGTCATCGCCAGCTTCTCCTCCTTGCATGCCAGGTGATAGGCTTTCTTGGCTGTCTCCAGCTGTGAGGAGGAGAGGGAAGGGACATCAGAGAAGTGGTCGCAGCCCCCCATCCACCCCTCTGCCTGCACGGAGGTGCCACCCGTGTCTCCCAGCCTGGACCAGGCACACAGAGACAGAGCTGGGAGAGGCAGGGATGCCCCGGGACACTCTGTACTTCTCTCACCTCCTTGAGCTTCTTGGCCCAGGGCTTCTGGGCTTTCCGGAAGCCATCCTCAGCCTCCTTGGCTTCCTTGAAGCCCCCCATGATCTGCTTGTGGTAGGCGTCCTTCTGCCAGTTCTTGACCTTCTCGAAGTCGTCGTTCAGCAGGCTGTTCTTCACCTCCTGGTGCAGCTCACTCACCTTGTCTGCCTCCGTCATGATGGCTGCCCACGCCTTCTCCAGGCTGCCATACTGGGGACCTGGGGGCCGAGGGGACACTGGGGGTCACTCCACAGCCCTCACCCCTCCACCCCTGCCAGGGGAAGCTGGGATGGTGCACGGGCACCCAGGTGTCTGGAGAGACCTTTTCCCTGGGGAAGCCATGGTACCTTTCTCGATGAGCTGCCTCCACCTCTTGGACCAGTCAGTGAGCTGCTGAGCGTAGGACTTCTCGATCTTGGCCCGCTCGTGCACACAGTTCATGAGGTCGTTGCAGAGCCGGTGTCCATCGTCGATCCGCTTCACCGTGCGCTTGTAGTTCCCCACCTGGGAAAGGGAGGGGACAGGCAGGTGTGGGAGCTGTGGCTGGTTTGCCTGGCTCAGCCCCAGCTGGCCTGGCCTGGGGACGA